CATCACAGGGAAAAACATGTTTTTGTGCATTTTAAAACCTCACAGTAGCATCTCATTGTACAATAGGAAATGAACAAGTGGCAAATTGATCCTTGAGGTTTATCATTTGCCACATTCGCGGCACTAAACCAGGTTCGATTCTTCATTTTATGGCAACACTTAAAGCCGACCTCTCATTTCCCTAACCCTCCAAACAAACAGCGCACTGGAAACTTTCCCTCCAAGCCCCCTCCCTTCCCCCATTCTCCTAACGAATGACTTGTCCCCAGCCTCGTCCTGGTGCTGACGCAGCATTAAGCTGTGTTAAATGAGCTGCAGCGTGGTAGGGGAGACTAATCCTTCTTAAAGTCACACCGAAGGCGGTCATGAGCGAGCCAGCTACTCACTGGTGAACGCTACCTTGATGACTGAAATGACTTTACAAGAAAAGGACGGTGCCACAAGTACAATCATTAAGAAGTTAGAATTTGTGTGAAACTTGCCTGGCAACTTTTTGTTTGTCGATTTGATAAATGCCATTCTGCATGTTCATATTTGGAGCAGTATTGACATTTAGAGGGTAAACCCCCCCAAAAAACAAAACCTGCAGTAGGACCTGATGCCCTGAAAGTTTCACCTTTATCAGTTTCTGACTTGATAGTCATTTCACCAGATGTCCTTTCTGTGACACGTAGTGTCAGGTGAGTCCTCAGATTCACCTAATCCTTTTTTCATTTTGACTCTTTGGTGATCTCTCGATATCCCCGCACCAGAAGATTATACAGCCAGCATGCTACAGATATACAGTATGTTTTTAAACTTTTTTCACTGCATTTCTCCCCAGGGAGGTGGCTAAGAGCACAACAAGCAAACAGGAAGCAAAAAAGGAGAAGATCAGCCATGTCTATTTGACATGAATAGCTGTCATTTGCCTGTTATGCTTCAAAAAGGCTCCAAAATACAAAAGACAAGATCACCCCCACCCCACCCCAACAAAGTAAACTGAAAAAAAGTCACGTGCCATCTAGTTCACTTGACCTCTAACACAAAGTAGTTACATCCAGCCCTATTTTTGTGTTAACATGGTTTAGCATGCACGCCCAACATGTGAAACTTCATGTTCCTCCTTTAGACAGACTTCATAACCTCAGCTGACCAAACCAGCCCCTATTTTGATTTGCAACAAGCTTTCTGGAAAGCTTGAAAAGCCTGAATACCGCTTCTTGAAATATCCCCCGATGTAAAATTAAAAAATAAAATAAGTGCGCGAGTTGGTGTGTGTGTCAGGCCCCGAGGTTTGTGATGCATCAGCTCAGGCCATCTCTTGCTTGGCAACAGCCTCTGAGGAAATATGCTCAATGAAAAAGGGCCTTGTGCTGCCATTTCTGGGCACAGTGAAGACACCCCACACTCGTCAACCAAGAGGGACGCTTGTTGTCAACTGCAGCAGATTTTATAAAAACTACACAGAAACCCAGAATATAGCACTAAGTGTACATTTTCTTTGGAACAAGTCAGTAAACTGTAGTTATACGTCAGAAGCAACGTGTTACAGATTCATAACAGTCTGCTGCTCTCAGTTAGAAATCTAAATTTAGAGCAGCTATTAACTGGAAACCATCTTTTCACCAAAACAACTGCAATAAGCTTGAGATGAGTCAGGGCTTCAATTTTTTCCCTCCTTTAAAGGAGCTAAACCTAACCTAACGCAGGGGGCTTGTTTGGTTGCAGTTTGACCCTGGCTGACGGAGGCGCAGCGTCACATATCACATCATTGTCACTAAGGTGTTCTTTCACCTGCTTGTGACCTTAAGCAAAGCAGAGGAGCGGCCTTATAAAAACAGCACCCATCTGCACAGCCCACAGTGACAACACTAATCCAATCTCTGCCTTTAGCTGATCGCACCATTGTACCATAAGGATGTGTGCCCCCCCTTCAAATGTGGGATAAATTAGTTTCAGGATTTTTCTTTATTTATTTTTTTTTTAAATATACCCACACTTTGAGATTTTGGAGTAGTCAAAGTGCGAATTAAAACTTGCCAACCACTTAAATTGTGTTTAGTTTGCCCGGCGTTTTCAGTTTCTCTTAGATTGAAAACTATTTTGTTCTAAACCTGAAAAAAAAAACGGAATCTGAAATTTATTTATAAAATTTCAGGTGAGATCTGGGGAAGTTTTTTTTTGTTTGTTTTGGTTTTTAATATTGCTGGGAGGGAGAGAAAAATGGGAAAAAAAACAAAAAAAAAAACAAACCACTTATACTGAATGTTATCTATTGCGTTTAAGTGTTTCGAGCTCTAGCCACTCCCGTGTGTGTGTGACACGGCAAACCCAGGTGAAATGAAAGATAACATTGTTCGGTTATGTAAATGAAATCAAAATCTTGCCAGGACAAAGCCAAGAACAGCCTTGTATCAATGCACCCGTTTAACAAGCTTAAACATACATGGCAGGTATGTTTTACACAACCGTAGCACTGTTGATACTGAACTGTATGTAGGACCTGTTTAAATACTATGTACTAAAAAACAAACAAAAAACCCTCCAAAACTTCCAGCTTCATATTCAGTGTATCCTCAGATTTAATGGGGACTTGTAAACTTAGCTGTAGGCTGAAATTACAGTAGACTCCTTCAACTGAAGGTGATGAATCCACAGCAGCAGAGGGAGGACAGAGGAAAGGGCTGATAATGACTGATGCCCTTACCCTGTAACTGTGGAACAGCTCGATGGCTCGGAGGACGTCAAACTTGCGAGCCATGAGGAACTTGACGGCCAATTCCCTGGACAGCGGAGACACTCCATGCTGACTGGTCCACTTGTTGATTTCCTCCAGAAACTGCCTGGTAGCCTGAAACACACACAGCTGTTGTCAGAAAACTCTGCTGTCCCAAAATCTGAGGGTCAAGCAGGAAGGAAGTGAAACTGGGGGTTTGAACTTGATACATCCTCAAAGTGCTATCTACGGCCCCAGAGATTATTTGATGCAATGTTATGGCCTGTTGCAGTGGGGGATATGCTGCTGTATATCCTTGAGAATGAAGTAAAGAATGTAGCAACAAGCAGAAAGAAGATGAAGTAAACATTTACACCAAAATGAACACAAAAGTGGAGTGACACATGCAAATGGACACGTGTACATTACGGGGAGACATTTGTTGCTCGAAATAAAACTCGCAGCCTGAAGCATGAGCTGGGGAAGATAACCGAATCCTGCAAACTGGTGTTTATGACATGAAGCTGCTTTAATGACAAGGCTGCACAGACTTTTAATAGTACTTGGCAGTGAAATTACTTGTCTAGCTGTGGAGCACCAGCTTTTTTTAATTTTTTTATAAAAAAACAAAACAAAACAAAAAAGCCCGCACAACACGGATAAAGTCGTGTGTCCTGAGCTTGCTCGAACTGAAAGGTGTGTGTGCCTTGTTCAAAGAAATGGAACTGCGTGTCAGCATTATTCTTTCAAGAGAAGATGATTAATTGGCCATCAAACTCTGCATCTGAGGTGAAGATGATAATTGGTTTCTTAGGAAATCTGGCTGCAACTACAGGAAAGAATCTCTAATGGACCGAAACAGAATGGCAAGAAGCGTGAAAACAGCAACTGATGTTATGATTACTGGGGGTTATCTGGCATTAATGCCCAATATTTGCTCCCCTTTTGTGGTCTCTGCTAACAGTAAGGGAAACATCTGGCTCTTTAGCTCCCAAACACTCCATATTTTCACTAGCCTTTTGTTAACTTTGTCTATGTGCCACATGGTGCTGAGCAGGTACAGCCAGCTAAAAACTGCTGCAGCCAAAAATGACACCATGAGTGATGAAAATGAGCCAAAACACGAACGCTGCATGCGCCAACTCCATAAAGCTCTGCACAGCTGCAGGGAACTGCAAACTCACGGCACTCCTCTGTGGGATCGTCACACGTGATACCTATAAATATGTTTTTATAACTTCCTTAAGTAACAAAGTTCTCTCCCTTTTAAAAAGTGTGCTTTCAGCATTGTGATACCTTTAATGTCTTGCTGGCTTCATGCTGCACTTGTAATTTAGAAAAATGTGTTTAACTTCGAGGCCTTCAGCTCATCTTGGAAGTAACTTCTGCATTTAGCCTGCAGTCATTCAGGGGCTTCCTGCCTCTCCCCTCTTATTATATACACTCCCTCAGCTCCCCCCCCCCTCCCCTCCCACTCTCTGCGTTAGCGAGTCGGCACCAAGTGAATCCTTCAAAAAGACGACAGGAGGAGGCAATGAAAGCTCACGCTTTCAGAAAACACAGGGTTCCGCTCTTCTGCTCAGGCACGGCAGCAGTGGGGCACGCTCGGGAGACAGGAAGTCAAGTTCAGGGAATCCGCGGCTCTTCAGGAATACAGAACGATCCCTGATGAGCGCCGATCCTGAAGACAGGATGCCACTGTCTCCCCTCGGCAGAGCTAGTGCTTTCAAAAGCAGGAGGGCCTGCAGCTTTTGCTCTGTTCAAGAGGCCTTAGCATGCAAGGGATGAGGGATGATTGCACCTGACAGGGCTGAGGCCTGTTGACATCCGATTCTCATGGGAAAAAAATGTGGAAGGGAAGCGGGGGAGGGTATAATGAGTTATGAGGTTTTCACTGTAGAGAAGACACAATGTGTCATAAAATGTGGGAATGGCCAACAGAGAAGAGCAAGGAAAATAAAAATCCTGGAATGAGCCATTAAGATACACCTGCTGCGATACTTCTGAATGTATGTACTTCATGATACTTTCTTCTGAGCAGCTGGGGAAAAGCTGCTGACACAAAATTACTGCAAACTCATTAATGTATCCTACACAGACATGCAAACAAAAAGGGGCCATTAAGGGTCCATTCCTCTAAATGTTTGCCCCGCCACATGCCTGCCTGGACTTCCTGCCACGGAAAAGTGACAACCGTGTCTGCAGATTCCAAACAACAGGGTCTAGAGAGATGGAAAACAAACAAACAAAAAAAGAAAAGAAAAAAAAAAAAGAAATCTGTCCATTATTGGTCCAACAACCAGAAACAAGCGAAACCAATAAGGTCCTGTTTTGGACCACGGAGCTAGGTCCAGTTTACCCAGCGCCCTTTGCAGATCTGTGCGATACACAAGCAGTGGACTTCGGACTAGTTTGCAGGGAAAACTGTGATAAATCTACTCAGCGATAACAAGAAAAAATAAAATAAAATCTAACATACATGCGATCCGCAAGTGGGTTTGACAAGCGAAGTCCTCAGTCAAAGCAAACGCATTTGACGCAACTCGCAACTTTAAAGAAAATGATCCAGATTCATAACATTTATTGGCTTCTTCCTCTGGCCGCCACCTCTCCAGCACATTTCATGACATTCAACGTGGGATGTTTCCTTTGCTTTGGCTGCGAGTACAGCTATTTCCTAATATTACAAAATTCTAGTCTACAAATCTAAAAGCACAACAGGTATTTAATATGGGCCTTGTGCTCTTTGTTGTTGCTGCAACGTTAAGCGTTTGCGCTCTTTTGTTGGCCAAAGACAGCTTCCTGTCAGGTTACCTTCAGGTACACTCAGGTTTCCAAAAACTTCAGCGGTCTGACAGCTGCTCATAGCCTTTTAAGGACAGCCTGCCAACTCCAGGTGGTGACCCTGTGTTCCAGTAGAAGCCAGTCTTGTTTGGCTTTTCTACACTGGGGCCATATCTGCCAAGAGTGGAATGTGAGGATGAACCAGTTTGTTTTCATGATAGCGCACCGGATTGCTGTGGAAGACTCACTGCAGAGGAGTGACTTATTCAATTCCCGGAGGATGCATAAATATTTGGCTGACTTGCCCCACTTTTGAAATAACCGGAGATTTTCTTTTTTCCTTGAAGTTCAATTACTTAAAAAAACAAAAAACAAAACAAAACAAAAAAAAAAACCACACCACTTGATTCGAGCTTATGTGTCCTGCCATAGCCAGAGGGATTTCTGTGAGCACAGAATGAGTTTGTATCTAGTCACAAGTCATCCTGACTGCAGAGAGAAACATTTTCTGGCCTGACGTTACATAATCCTGTTTTTGTTGTGAGTGTTGTTCGCTGGTTGTGGCGGACGATGACAGACAATAACTAATTGATCAGATTTGCTGTGGTTGCGACCTCCTGTGTTGGGAGTTAACTGATGAAGTTGTGATTGATTATTAGCGCTAAAAGCAAAGATCCAGTTGTACAAACATGTTACAACACCCCACCCTAAAGGGGTCACTGCTACAGGAAATCACTACAGGAAGATGTCTGCTATAGGGAGAAAGGAGCTATAATCAGCAGCAGTCAGGAGTTAACAGATTCAAGAAACTAATGAACCATGATATCACTTTCACACCTTTATAATGCTGCACTTTGCATTGTGGAAATCATTACTGATAGCAGCATACTGGCAATGCATTCATTTAGTCAGCATTTCCACTTTGACAACTGAAAGTTGATTAACATACATTATCCTCTACACTCCTATTTTCTGTGTGATCGAAATGTCATGCCACTCGACTATTATTATAGTACATTCCCCTACATTCATTGACAACCTTTATTCTATGCTGCTTCAACCCACGTTCTTCTAAGACTAAGGCTCCTGCCACAACTGCCCACCATGCTACGAGCATGCATGTTGAAAAAGTAGTTCATCAATAATGACTAAATAATCTTGCAATTTGTCTCCAAGGAACAACGTCGTGGTAAGCTGCAATTACCATCCAATACTGCTATACTTTTTATGTCAAGGTAACTCCAGGGTGACTATTTTGAGCAACAATGTTGCCAATCAGTTATCGTGATTACTTTCTATTCATTTTTGTGAATAAAACATCCCAGTCACATCTTCCTTGTGTCTGAGTTAAGATCCATGTGCAAAGGTTTTGTTCTGTCCAGTCATCAGTAGAAAAACTGTATTTAGTAAACCAGGATCAAAAACTCTTAACTGGACAGAAAAACAAAGCACTGTTTGCATAAACTTTGCCTGATGAGGGTCTGAGGCCCAACATGTTATAAGTAAAACAAGTCAATTCTTTCTGTGCATGTTTACTTCAAATAAGCTTACAGTAAACAATAATATTTGCTCCATATTGATATAATGGCATCAGAAAGTTGCTGCAGATTTGTCGACTGCACGACCATTATGTGAAGGTGCTCTATTGGATTGAGATCTGGTGATTGTGGAGGTCACCTGAGTTCAGTCTCACATTCAAGATCCAAGTTTTGTGACATGCTCTGTTATCCTGCTGAAAGCAGCCATCAGGAGACGGGGATGGACATGGTCAGCAACAAAATCTAAGTAACTTCAGGTGTCTAAAGGATGCTCAGTTGCCATTAAGAGACCTAAGTGTGTCAGGAAAATATCCCTCACACTATTATACAACCAGCCTGAAACGATAATACAAGGGAGATGGCTCCATTTTTTCATATTCTTTATGCAAAATTTTTCCAATTTTTTTCATTTTCTGATTTTGGTGAACAAGTATCATCTACTTCAAAGTTTAACATGTTGTGGGTTCAGAGATGCTGTTCTGCACACCATGGCTGTAACAAGTGGTTATCAGACAAGCCAACTCACCCTCACCTCAAATTTCTTCTGTTGTCCAATTAGCCTCAATTTCCCCTTTCTTAACTGACAGTTGTGACACCCACGTGGCCCCCTGCCACTGTAGGCCATCTGCTCCAACGTTCAATATGTTGTGGCTTCGGAGATGCTCTTCTGCACACCTCTTGTTGTAACAAGTGGATATTGAGTCACTGTCGCCTTCCCATCAGCTTAATTTTTTCAGACCAGTCTCTGTATCCCCCCCAACTTCTCTTCTCCTGATGCTCACTTTGAACTGCAACAGGTTCTTATTGATCAGT